TCATCGTGTCACAATGAAAACGTTCTTCCATTTCAACAGCACACAAAGAAAATAACAGAGAGGTGTTTCTTTTTTAATTCAGTTGTAATAGGATAACATACACTTTTAAGAGGTTAAATTTGTAACTTGTAATGTCATGACGAAAACGATGTCTCCCTGCTTTTAAAAACTGAATGAATACACTATTTTAGTGCATGATAAAAGAGATGACCGTATACTACTCTATTTTTTTAACGGAAAATATAAGACTTATTGACGCAAATGATAATGCGAATGCGTTACCGGAAAAAACAGTAAGTGATGATGAAGAATAAAATCCAAGATTACCTCCACGTGTAATCAAATACAATAAAGTGCAATCTCCACAAAAATTCTTATTGTCGAATATATACTTTCTTGGCTTTATGACAGAATTATAAAACTCCTATTGTTCAGATAACCTGTAGGATATCGTTTTTAACATGACACAATTTAGCGAACTCAAATATACGTACTAAGATTTACAACTTATATTGATAAGATATGTAGGATGTACGCCAACGAGAGACCAAACCTAAAAGGCAACAAAACCCAGGGAAATAGACAAGTATTATGATTGCATGATAAAGTGTAAAATATGACTACTATAGCTGCGACGTTTCAGGCTAAAGAACATTTATGAATGTTTTATTAACAACATTGTGTGGAATATATAAATAACAGCAATTTTTTCATAGAATTTGTAAAGTCATGATATCATTCATTCGTAAAATTATAATTTAAGTAGAGTTTTAAGAGACAGAATACTTCTATTGGCAAGATAACTTTTATGATACAAATCTCTGGCATAAAGTATCCGCTGAGATTATTTACGCGACAGAAAGGACATATGATATGATATTTCTAAAGAACAGGAAGTTGACAATAGAACGGTAATCATGCCAATTGGCATTGGTTTTAGTTTTTACTTTTCATTTAGGGTCAATTCCAGGAAGAGGATCGAGATATGATACAAATCCATTTTGCGCACTCAATGCAAGAACCATTCCTCACTGAATACAAATTATGACCTAAATTTGGTACACTCACTCCTACGACAATTGTTTTATCCGAATTCAGTATCAACATAGGAATTCAACAAAGTAATGTAAACGTGAAAAATCGAAGAAATATATGCAAAGTACTATGCGATAAGACAACGGAAAATGCCTTAATTATATGTTGGGACTCAGAATACTTTGATTGCTTACTTTAGCGAAATGTCTTTTCATATTTACAGTGAAGCAATGGTTGAATTATTCACAGAAACACTAGAATGGCTTGGGAATACACAGTGACACGTGCTTTGAAATGAAATAAGCTTAACTTTTCCAAGGTCTTATGAATGTATACATACAACTTATAAAGTAATTGACAAAGTTATTCCTTTTCAACACCTTACTATAGAGTCTGACCTTTGAAGAGTCTTATGTATTTGATAAAAGCTATTGATTATTTTCGATAAAAGCGATATCTGTGATTTTTTATTAAACAAAATATAGACAAAACGAATTTCTTTCTCCAGAACAAACATTGTTAGACACATTGGCAAACAATATTAGCCACAACATTTAACAAGTTGTCCTCTGTGGAGCCTATTATTCATTTGAACTCAGGGTTTTTCAGTCCCTCGAGATGAAACCGACACATGTATTATCTACTGACTGACATTTTGGTGATTTAAAGGTTGTTAACTTAGTAATTGACCATTTCCCTGCCCAGATAATGGCAAATGAACAAATATAATTTGATTTGCCTAAATCGTATCAAGTAATACCATTCCTATCTCCGTTAGCCAATAATTTAATATAGCCGACTTACAAGGTGTCTACTGAACAAATTTTATAAATGACGGTTGACAGTAGAAGAAACCATACACGTTCGGAATTGTCTTATAATATTGGAAACGCTGCGAGTTGTTCAATCTAATAAGATTTTAATATTAGTTCAGCCTTAGAGACTTTCGTCCTGGAAAGATTTGGTAAACATCGCGGCGAGTACAGAAACGTACTTCGTTTTTTTTCTTCTGATTATAATGTGTATATATGTATTTATTGTTATGTCTATATGATCAAGGCTAAGTTCTTTGAGATAAATTATATATAAGCAATAACTTCACCTGAACATTATTCTTAAAAAGAACTGAAAAGTGTATTCAAAGCTGCATTTTAATTCGAAATATATATAAAGTGGTACAGTGTTAGCATCTATGAACCATCAACGAAGACGCAACAAAATAAACGAATCAAGCACATAGGCAAATTTCGCATTTTCTTTCAAACCGTCTTTAAAACTTAGTTACAGATTGTCTTTTAAAGTAAATGAGACTTAATCTAAGCTAATGTGAGTGAATGTTAATTGTTACACAACGTACATTTGTAGTGTAATTCAACATAGAACTTCTTAATTTCTGCGGTGCTCGAGAATGATCAGCAAAAACTATTTGACTTTCCGCATAGGCGGATGACATTAAACGCAAATCACAAGACCTTATACGTGGTTGCATTTGTAAATGTATTTCATGAACAAAAACGAGCTTCTAATATCTAAAAGTTTAATAGCCATAAAAGATTGTAATGTAAAGTATTTTTTTCCTACGTTCATGTTGATTATTTTACTTATAAAAGAGGCAATCAAGAACATTTTTATTTTTTCCTATATATTTTTAACAAAATAACAAAATCCCCAAAACGGCTGACTTTTGTATACAATATGGTCACCTATATTTTGTTATCCCGTCTGTCAGAAAAACACATGCTGGACACTTTGTTCCTTAATGTGGACCAATTTGATAACGGGGATGTGCAGGATGTAGAAATGTAGAAATGCACAGTATCGTCCGGTGGGAAAAGGGACGTTAATTCTCGTGTAGGGACAGGTTATGCTCTCTGTGCGTTTAAAAAAAAATACCATAAGAGGTCCGAATGAGATGTGTTGCAAGGCAAAGTTCTTGTCCCTATCCAACAAACCTTATTTTTTCATGAACAACTTAAAATCGCCACTTTTCATCCCGGTCAACCAATTTTGAAGAACCTAACTTTTGGATTTATTGTTAATTATTTTTCGTTGTGACTGCGCATGAAATATTTGCCAGTGAACGTTAAGCAAACAAAGTTCAATCAAAATATCAATAAATATTCGAGTATTGTTTTAGGTCAACTGAGTTTGAACCTTCGTTTCTTAATAATTTCTAAATTTATCAACGCAAGATTATTTTTTTAAAAACAATAGATTTTAAAAACAATAGGTTTATAAATAAAAGAAACAAACAAAACGAATAAAAAAGAAACAAATAAATAAAACAATAAATAAAACAATAAATAAAACAATAAATTCAATAAATAAAACAATAACTTCAAAAAAATACGATTGATAAAATGAATTCAATAAAATTCTAATAAAATAAATTCATTAATTACAATTAATAAAATAAATTCATTAAATACGATTAATACAATTAATAAAATAAATTCATTAAATACCATTAATAAAATAAATTCAAAAAAATAAATTACATGTATATAAATAGATAGAGGTATCCAAAACAGTTATAGATTATTATATATTAGAACTGCCAGGATCTGTTTTAGGTAAAACTGTCAGAATAAGTCACTTCTAGTGTAGAATTATCATTCATTTTAATTATATCTATAATTATAGAATAATTTAACTGACATGTATAGAAAAGAATTTCACGATTAGTGGCATAAATTAGTTGATTCTGACGTACATATTTAATCTATTCAATACAATTGACCGCTTATTAATGGGTGCCACTGTTGGAGCACGAACTGTTCTTTTATAGCACTAACTTTACCACTGCTTTTGGTGAGGTTGTGTAGATCAGTATTTGATTTCTATGAAGCATTTTCTGGATTTCGCTTTTTTCAATTCATTGTTTTTTGTCTTTCGCCCATGTTTTTTTTGTCAACTACGATGTTTCATTGTTACTTAGGTATTTAACTTTTTTAATACTTTTCAATGATGATTATTTTTGATAAAATGTGGAAAATTTTGTTTTTGCTGTAACTTTGATCCAATGAATGTTATTTCTGTTTGATTGTCCGAACAATACCAGAACTAACATAAAAGCTTATGAAGAAATTCTAACAGCTATTTGGGGAACAACAACACTATTCATTATTCATATTCTTCATGGTTTCAAAAAAATTATCGGATCACAGAACTGCTGTATAAAACATCCTTGTGAAATATCGTTTATGAAAAGATCTCCCTTCACAATGCTGTCAGACAATGATAACTTAATTATTTTCATATTTTTAACGCTTTTTCGGACTATATCAATACAACTATAGCTTTAGTGACAATGATATAATGTTGAAAGACTACACTATAAGAGAATTAACTCAATTTATTAGTGATATTTACACGTACTTGCATTTAACAAGTTCTAGTTTCCATTTTTTAAGTATAACTATAATGTATCTGGGAATATTAAAGTTGCACTTAAGACTCTCTTTTTTCAATATTCAAATGTATTTCCAAAGTCCTAGTTGCATGTCATATTTCATGATCATCGATCAATACAAGAAAATTTCAACTCACGCAACTCTGACCTTAGGACTTAGTCATGCAAAGTACAATTTGAGATGTCGTATTAAACCCGTTTGATTCGGACTAAAAAAACCGAGACAATTTACTCCTCAGAACTTTGCTTTCGTCGAGTTTATGAAAGGATAATATATTTGTATATAAAGAACCAACCTAGTTACACTCAACATCTCACTTTTTTACATGAATGTATGCAATGATGCAAGGAAAGTTTTGTGTATACATATATACAAATGTAGTGAAATGTTACTCTTCCAAACATACAAATGTGTAAAACCGAAAAACGTCATTTACATTAGGTTCATCGGGGTAGGGATCTTTATGTAAAATATTATTTGTTATTTGAATAAATCATTTATTACATATTAAGTTTTAAATTATATAACATTGTATTTCATTTGATTTTACAGATATTAAGATGGTGTGAATAAACATAGACCATTATGAATACCGAAAACATATCAGTCGATTCTATGATGGATGTTAGAACAGCAACGGAAATATTTTGTGATATAGGCAGTATCATAATCGATAATTGTACATGTAATGGAAGCATTCAAAACAATACTTGTACTAATGTGACTGCTTCTATAGGATATGCACCCCCAAATCCACTATGGCTTACGGTTCTACTTGGTTTAATGGCGTCCATCGTCATATTAGTGACTATTTGCGGGAATATACTTGTGTTGTTATCGTTTGCTCTAGAACGAAATATACGGCAACCAACGAATTATTTTATAGCATCATTAGCAGTTTCAGATCTTTTGATAGGAACATTTTCTATGCCTTGTTTCACGTTATATTTGTTACTCGGTTATTGGCCTCTAGGTGAAATGTTATGTGATTTGTGGCTATCGTTAGACTGGACAGTATGTCTGGCTTCACAATACACTGTTTTCTTCATCACTGTAGATAGATTCTTTTCTGTTAAATTACCAGCAAAATATAGAAACTGGCGAACTGAAAGGAGAGTTGTTATAATGGTTGCCTTCACGTGGATAATTCCTTCAGCGGTGTTTTTCATTTCTATAATCGGATGGCAGTACTTTGTTGGTAAGCGGACGGTTCCTGAAGGGACATGTGAAGTTCAGTTTATGGGTGATCCTTTGTTTACTTTTCTCCTTACAATTGGATATTATTGGACAACGCTAGCTGTAATGATTGGACTGTATGCTGGAATATACAGAGTTGCATTATCTCTTCAGAAAAAATCTGAAGCGAAGCACAAACGACTGACCACTGCCATGGGACTATCAAAAGGTAAAAACAAATCTAAAAAGAACAATAAGAGTGTCAAATCACCTGTTATTGATGACACCGTAGTTCAAAATAATACACAGAACCAAAAACATATAGACACAACAAGTTTTACAAAGCATGCAGAGGAAGACCGGTCTAGTTCGCCAGCATTTGCTTCGGACGACGAAAACAGTGATAGTCATGAAGCTTATGGAAATGGAAAATCTAATAACAAATCTAAACATAAACATGACGAAATTGACGATGAACAAACCTGTTTTGTTAATAGTGCTGTTCAAACGGACACAACATATCGACCATCATTAAAAGGCATGTTAGGTCAGTCATTTAATCATGTTTCTAAAATTGCTCTGTCAATAACTGCACCAACATCTTCTGACGATGACAAAGAAAAAAGTGACACTGCAGAGAGGCAATCAGAGGAAATAAACAATTATCACAATAAAGTGTTACATATTGAAAACACTCCAAAATCAACGGACGCTTTACTTGAAAATGAAATACTACAAGGATGTAAATATATTGACGAGGAAAGCTTGAAATCATTGGCCTCTTCCGAAAATATTAGGCTCTTGTCTGAGCCAATGATTGAATACGCTTCATCTACAGATGATGGTGGTAACTCCCCGGTGTGGAAAAAGAGAAAGGATAAATATCTCCCTATACCGATACCCGAGGAGTTTTCAACAAGTGTATCGATAATAGATAGTGGCGTAGATATGCATGATGAACATGATCAAACTGGTACAAATACTAATACAACCTTGAGTCCGTTACCCGCTAACGGGAAATCATGGAACAATGCTGTAAGTCTAGTTAAACAGCAAAATTCGGTACAAAAACTAAGTACTGTTGAAACAGAAGATAAACCTCATAAATTTGGAAGTCCTTTCCATGCCCTGGTTAAATCAATTAGGGCAAAACAGAAGCAAAGAGAACGAGAAAAACAAAAAACCGAAAGTAGAAAATCTAAATCGGAGAATCGTGCAAGAAAGGCATTGAGGACAATAAGTTTTATTTTAGGTGCTTACGTTCTTTGTTGGACACCCTATCACGTAATAGTATTCATCATCGGTGTTTGTGGAGCTTTTAGTTGTGTTAACGCTACATTATATAATATTTGTTATTGGCTATGCTACTTGAATAGTCCTGTGAACCCTTTCTGTTACGCTTTTGCCAACCAACAATTTAAAAGAACTTTCTTGCGCTTGTTAAGACTTGACTTCCATAAAACATAACATATGTGTTAAAATCAAACAATTACTCAGAAATAAAACAGTTTCTTTATGAAACTTTGCGTGACAATATTTAAATAAATGGTTTACTGTAAAAGGGAATATTTAAGGGAGAAATGATAAAACTATGATTCATCTTTAATTTCTTTTACCGTCCATATGCTTTTAGGTTTAAAGATTGCATACATTCATCATGTCAGTCAAATTGATGGCTGCAATGTTGTCACTTCGAAACATACATGTGTTCTGTTAATACCTAATATATAATCAGGCTGATACCGTTCAGACGCTGTACTTAGTATTAGTATTCTAAAGGGTAAGTTACATCTTATATATCCGGTCTTAATAATCTGTCAAAAATCAACCAACAGAAGAATATCACTGCCAATTTTACATTACAAGTTTGGTTATCAGGAATCCAAGTACAATATGCAGGGAAATTCATATGTATACTATTTCACAATGTATCTAGTTACTGTGTTACACAAAATCCACTTAAATCAAAGAGAAGGTTAATAAATCATGACTTTACATTCGCTATAAGTGTTTTTCGACAATGTTGACAGGTTTCATGAGTCGGTTTGTCTGGGCTAAATTATATTATAACTAATGAAAAAGAGTTAATTATTATAAAAAAAAATAATTGTCTGATGAATGATGACAAAATTGAGTTCATATTATGTGATAGCTGATAAAAGAGTTTTTTTTATTTTAAACTAATGGAAAGGGTTAGTTTTACTGTCACCGATAAACATGTTTTAGCTTTATTTTAACCGATGAAAAATTAAGAAGAATATTTGTTTATAAACAATGAACAAAAAAAAATATTACGTTTTAATGTAACTGATGAAAAAGTCGAGTTTGTTATAATATAACCGTCGTTTTCAGTCTAGAAAATCATTGATTTTATTTATGTCTTTCAACTTTTATTTTAGATGTAACTGTTCAACAATTTATACTACATGTATATAAGAGTGTGTCATATAGTCAAACGTATGTTTTTACCATCTAGACTATAAAATATTCAATAATTATGTGTTACAAATGTGTTAAACTTTTGTTACTTATAAAAACTGTATGTACTCTCGTTTTTCCGGACAATATTTCATTTGGATGAAATGGTAATTAATTGATAATGAATCAAAGGTGCTTGATGCAGTTACCGTCGAATTTTTTAGTAGACCTTTTGACACTTACATTTTCCTCATTCGTTTCAGCTATGATTAATGATCATATACCTTTTCTCTATAATATAGCATTATTTGGTGGAATATTATAACATTTGAAATTGATTCCATTTTTGTTTTTGTTTATAGAGAAAATACCACGATTTAAACAGGTTTTTCTCTTTTTAATTTAGAAAATATTACACCAAATCTTAGGTTAATACTCAATCAGCTGTTAAGCTTAAAGGATTTATGCATACTGGACATTGGCATATCCTCAACGGAAGAACTTTACACAGCTACATGTGTCAAACGCTTGGTTCCTTGCAATTGCCATGTATACTAATTTGCTACATTATTTCGGCATCATTTTAATACTTAATTTAATTCAAATAATACCAAAGCAATATGAAAATGCTTTAAAAGGGGAGAGTAAAATTTATGGTCTGTTTGGTCCAGTAAATTAATCGAAAATAACAAAAACGGTATAAGATGTACATGCACTTTTATTAATCACATTTAATATAGATCAGCACCAAGCCTTAAACAAAAATTAAATGTGTATTGTGGCTCGATGATCCACAAGTGACCCAAGAGAGTGATGTATAAGAATTTATAAAGAATAAAGTACGCCTAATATAAAAGGAGACTTTTGAAAATTCACCATACAGCCGAACTGTCCGTCAATATCTTTTTTGCCAGCGAGTAGATAATCACAAAATACAATTCTTTTGTAAATATTTTGATGCGCGTGTTGTGCTGTATGTAACAAACAGTCCCGATTTTTTACGAGCCATTTTTTTTTATATTCACCGCCATTTCATGATATTTACTATGTACATGGATGTTTAAGCAAAAAATGTGGCTGATTTTGCACACAATTTAAAACATAATTTTGCAAATTGGACAAATATGAATAAATTTAATGAAAGGTACATCGCAGCTGTTTGTAGTCACTTAACTTGTTCATATCTGTACGAATTATAGCGTCAAAAGCGAAAAGAATAGCCAACACCGGCACACACACGACCAACAAAGCTATTGAAACAATGAAAATAATTTATTTTGTCACAGTGAAAGTTCATGCAATATTCTTATAAACATTCATATTTATGAAAAAGTAAATTGACCTCATTTATAAAAGTAATAACTTAAACTTCGGGATATCCATTTCATCGCCTCAAATCTCACGAACTAAATCATACCACGTGATTTAAAAATACACTTGCTGTATTCCTTTGATCCACTCTTCGGTCTAATGAAAGTCTAGTGCATATCCTTTAAACACAAAATGCTGAATTGATGGTTAATTTTGAAATTGCAATAATTCTGCGACTCGGTATGAATAATTTTATATAAGTTTTGTGTTTGAGATTTCCGATTGTAATACATTTTTTTACTTTCATTTAAAACAAAAAAAATTATATATATCCTTATAAAATACAGATGTGTGGGGAAAGTAATGTTCTTATTCAACTAAGCATTTTTCTGTGATTCGTCTTCTTTTGAATAATGTACTAAAGTAAGCTTTACTTTTTATATGTATTGTCTTCTTTAATGTTCTATATAGCATGTGTTTGTTTGCTTTGTGATATTTAAAAAATCAAAATAGGAAAAGACAAAAAATGAATATTAGCATACTGAAGTTTAACGTAATTCATCATGTTTTGCATTTAGAGGATAAAGGAGAATTTTGCTATTTAAAACGACCATATTTTTGAAAGATGTATCATTTTTATGTTTTTTTAAATTAGAAAGAAGGTAAAAGAAACAATATGCAATGGAAATGAAAAAGTCCGAATGAACACATTAGATCATCATAATCTCATCTTAACTTGAATGTATGTTCTCATTCTAAAACAAGTTATGAAGCATACATTATTTCATGATACTTTTGCAAAGAATTCAAAAACGTAAAATGATTTGACATCTAGACAATGAAATAGTTTCTTTCGTGTACATGTCCCACATCTGTATGCTACATATTGAATGACAAAAACATCATTTTTAAAGAAATGCAGCCTTGATTGTATTTGATAACTCGTAATATCCAACGTAAATATAACCAACTCATGTATTACTCATTCTGTATGAACATGTACACCGAATTGTGAAGTGTAATTGTGTATTTCTAGTAAACGTCTGTGCATTTTATTTACTCAAAACAGTTGCATTTTCAGATACTCCTAGGTAAATAATTTATTTAATTTGGATTTTTATTCCTTTCTGGAATACGGGAAATCAAAAAGTAACAAGATTACCTTATCAGTAGAAATTAAAAATAAAAGACGTCACAACCTATCTATATTATGACTGGAATGACATGAAATGGAAGTCATGGTTTTAACTTTTTAATGGGTATTTTTAAACGCCATATTTTAACTTGTATTGTGAAGATAGCGATCTGTTTTATTCTTTCAATATATTATCCTTTGAAATGGTTTGCCTTCAATTTTAAGTATGTAAATTGACCCTTTCTAAACATGCCTATAGAACTACTGATATTAAGAATTATGTAAAACACTCGGTAAACAAATTTTGTATTGTGAAAACACAATGACAAGATACGTGTACATGAAAGCCGCACAGTTTCTATCGACTCAAAGGGTCATTTGAACCAACGTCATCGACTTGCATAAATGTATGTCGTAAGCGTCACGCATATGCACTTGATGTAGATGGATGTTTGCTTTTGCCATTCAATATATCTGATGGATGGATCTTTAATTACCCCTAAATTATATCTTGAGTTCTTATAAGAAGCTGATATTGATACGTCTACTATTGTTGAATGCGGGTTTTCATGGACCTTGTAGGTTTGTGTTTATGCCTTTTGTTCAAGAAAAAAAACTTTTCCAGATTGATACAATACCGTGACAGAAATGATCATGCAGTAGAAATTGCGACTTTTTTCCGTCCCGATATCCAATAAGTCAGCAGAACAAAACTTTAAAAAGAACAAATAAATGACCTACTTGTGTAGAATTACGTCCATTTGGCCTTTTATTTATTCTATGAAACTACATGGAACGTGCGGCTTGAGCATCTACCAGCCAAACTTTGACGGAATTACTGACGTTATTTACTTCGGATAGGCGTAATCGAGTCTGACACATCTAGACAAAAATGACATATATGCAGACATTATCTTCGTGTCATCCGAATCACATATTAAATCAATTTGTTGAAATGAAAACATCATTAAAGTCATTTTAAAAGAGTTTTTGGTAATTGTAATGTTAAAGAAACTATTGAACCGAGGCATTCATATATACTTAACTGCGTCCTCTGTACACATTTTTTACATTTATTGCAAATCCATAACGTTTAATCGACAAAAATGTTTCATACTATGATTGTTAATCGAAAACTTTGGATAGTAATTAACTGTCTGGTTGTTGTACCGAAGTTTACCGATCGGACCTTGTTAAACAAAAAACACAACTTATCATGATGTATGTGTTTAACAAGTGAGATGATAGAGCGATGTTTGTTTTTTTTTTTACATATATTTTCTATTCGTTAAATGAACTTTGTCATAAAAGTTGTTAAATGCTGTGGTGTATTATTTTTTTCTTTCAGAATCAGTTGATACTATCTTTCTTCCACGTTTTTTTTTTATTTTTTCTTCTATCACAGTTTTCCCTTCGCGCTTGTGATGTGCGATAGCCGAATTTATTACGAAGGTGCGATGATTAAGGTCTCTGCATACGGAAAAGCTATCGGCGAATTACATTCCGTGAAGACAATAATAAAGTAGTAGTACCTTTCTAAAATGACGATTTTGATAAAATAAAAGATTTTCCTTCAAAAGAAAGTGTAAAACTTCAAGTTATTTATCTTTTTTGTTAAACTTGAAGTATCATATATATGAGTTTAAGTGGATCTTAACAGCACGTGTTGTTTAACCTACCATTAAAATAAATGTACAGTATTACTTATTATTATAGTTCATATTAAAATGCTATTTTTTATTGGTTAATACGGGGGTGACATTTTACTCTAACACATGACTAAACGGGTTACTTTTTTAAAATATAATTTTAAATCAATTGTTTAACAGACAATGATTTTGATTTTAAATCAGTAATTAGTATACAGTAATAACAGAACTATCAGTATAATAAATTAAATATCATAGAATTTTAATGTTTCTGAGAGGGTGATAGATCAGACTGTTATCCCTCAATCAAATAATATTGTTAACATTCGGCTTTGCCTCGGTTGACAACTTTTTCTCGGTGTAACAATCTGCTCAATCAACTTCTCAGCTATATGTTATTTATGATATTATACCGTCCTTCGTGCAACCCGTTTCCTGATGTCGATTGGAATTGTGGAATCTATGACACATACATTGTGTGCGAATGTGTTTCAGATTTTGGTGATTCAATAAGCAATTGAAAGTTGTCTCATTGGCAATCATATCGCATCTCCTTAATTCTATATTGTTGAAAAAGGAGATTCGAGTTTCAATTTGTATGAACTATGTTAGAAGTTTAAGATTATTCAGCATTTATGATAATGACAAATAAACGAAAAAGTTCAAAGGAAAGAGCCTCTGAAAATTTGTCTACAAGCTTCGTTTCATTCCATAATTACACTCTTAAGATATAATTTTGTTCAGCTCGCCATTTTTCTATTAACTATATTTTTAGATGATTTCATTACAAATGAAGCGTAAAACCTGAACAGATATTCTCAGCACATGAAAGACAAATTTTAAGAAACAATTACACTAACACCTCAATAGATTTTATCATTTTGATTTTGTATTTTTTTTTTTATTGTACAATTAGATCGGTTTTGACCAATTATCATCAAAAACACAAGTTTAAAGACCAAAATATCCGTTAGATGAAATTTGTAGATATAGGTTTGGAATATTAATTCCCGTTTATCCCGTAATAAAAAATCGAAACCTATTCACAGTCTTAATGTTTTCCAAATTCGAGGGACCTTATAGATTGTTTAGTTGCCACAAATCAATAACAAACATGATGAACTTTCGCGGTAATGTTATGGATACCAGTTGTTCGGATAGTCCCACATTGTAAAATCCTGAAAGGCCTGTGATAAAGAATCATTTTCCCGACATTTCTTTATAAACCTAGTCATACATTCACCAACTACAAACACATATAGCAATATGTAAATTGATCTGCATACATTTTAATATCAAATTTGATAACCGATTACGTCAGGCAAGAATAAGATGTGGATTTGGTTGGAGGTTTAGATTTTAAATCTTGGGACAAGAACGCATGTTTGTATACATGTAATGTCATAACATCACCGCCTGATTTCCTTATATGCACGTGGAATTTAATTTTTCTGTTTTTATTTATTTCTTTTTTTTATTTTCATATATTCTTTTGTCATATGTGAAACATTGTTATTAATAACATGACGCAATATTTGTACAACTGAATAAAAATAGCGCGAAGGTATCATTATGAGCAGATATGAGCAAATTTTATCACAAAAGCTTGTTGTATTGTCCGAATAATTGTTGTGTATATAATACCCTTGCCATAAATAAAAATTAAACATGATTTTCAAAATATTTTTATTGTGTTTTTGCCTACCTTAATTTATTACACGGTCTTATAATTTCTATTGATTGTGACGTTACGCACGATATTGGTGTCACTTTTGGTAACGTCGAATGTTAACGTAAAAACTAAAAAAGCATATATACATATTGACGTGTTGTAATATTGCGTTTCAGTATATCTTTTTTATACATTGTCTTATGTGATTAAAACAAGATATAGGTATACAGTTTGTGTTCTGTAGTAAAACGAAATGTATAGAATACGTATTGTGTTCTTTGAATGAAAGAATATGTGGGATATATCGTGTGAGTACATGGCCATAAGAATTCGTCACTTACAATATTTTGCTATACATTTCGTATAAATCGATGTGGTTTTTTTTTCAAAAAAATATTGAGGGGCCATTTCTGGTTGGATTTTAATTAACCTAATACCAATAGAAGCAGAACTGTCATACGTTTTTTAAGTGGTAATATATTTGTTGTGAAACGTTAGTTACCAATTTCTGATGATATAAACACAAAATTTTATTATTTGTCCGAAATTTTTTTCTATATATTCCAACCAAATAAAATTATATATAAGTTCAATACTTATTCTCATTAGGAGGGAAAAAAATTAACTGAAGAAAAAAATATGACCAAATAAACAACTACACTTCAGGCAATGCTGCGTCTTTCAACACATGGTTTGTGAAAATCCTAAAGAAGAGTATTTTTAAACGTAGTTTTATATTAAATAATTTTAATTTTTATCTTGACTGACCGATTTATATGTGTTTGAGAAAGTCAGAACTTATAAAATATACGAGTACCGGAGATCATGGTCATAGAATAAAGGCAAAAAGAACGTACTTCTTCCATTGAGTCCGAACACCAACAATTATGGAACTATAATATAGACTTGGATAAACTATATTTACGAAGAGTGAAGAGAAGTAGCGCTGTTAATTTTGAAATTTTCGGATAAATTGACTTTCTTTTTTTCTTTTTTTTTAAAACTTATTCACATTTTTTTCAAAGCTGTATGGAATACTGGTAGAAGTTTGAGCTCAAACTTTTGCGTTTTTATATATGTTTTTTTTTTTAGGATTTTATCATGTATTTCCAAAACGAATATCGAAAAAAATACATTGTGCACAGTACGGAATACGTATGTTTTAAATAAGGGAGTGCGGAATAAGCAACTTTAAGGATTATTTTTCAAACAAGGTTATATAGTGCAGACTATGTATAACAAAAGATAACTTAGTTTTTCTTGAAATTACAAGCGTTGCAAATCGTGAAAAAGATCAATACAAAACATTCATTGCTTAATCGCTTCATTAAATAGTAAATGGATGAGTAAAATAATGAAAAAATTCTCTTTTTAAACTAATAAATAGTATTGCTAGGAATAATATGCAAGTACTCTCATTTTGTCTGTAGCACGAGATAAAACGGAAAATGTTTGAATATTGATTGATTGATTGATTGTTGGTATTTAACGCCACTCTCAGCGCCATTTGCTATAGAAGGAGATGACGATCTTTTATTTCCATCAAATGGGCTTACAAAGAGAATGATACAATATAAGACATTATTTTAGACAACAACAAAAAAAAAAATAGAAAAATTGGTGTCCATTTTTTTTTAATTGGTGGAGGAAGCCGGAGTACCCGGAGAAAACAACCGACGTTCGACAGGAAACCGACTGGCAATCCTAGTTACTGTAGATAAACTTCTAAGATCGCTCGGCAAACGAGGCCTCGGAAATAACAGAAAAATAAAAAGATGTGGTATAATTCCAACGAAACAACTCCCTACCAAAGACCGAATGACATAGAAGTTAACAACTGTAGGTCACCGTATAGCCTTCAACAATTATAAAAGTTATAAATAATTAGCAAATCCCATACCGCACAGTACGCTATAAAAGGCCCCGAAATGGAAAATGTAAAACAATCCAAACGAGAATACTAACGGCCTAATTTATGTGCAAAACAATAAACGAAATACAAATTTTATATGATGTACAGCAACAAACGACAACTACTGAATAGCAGGCTCCTGACTTGGGACAGGCACATACATAATGTGGCGGGATTAAACATGTTTGCTGATGCCAAACCCTCCCTTAATCTGGGACAGTGGTGAAACAGTACAACACACTCGCACATTCCAAAACTATATCATTTTCTTCTTCAGTTAAATTCATTGTGTCTCTTTTTAAGAAAACTTTACAGATAAATCAAGTCAAATGTCGACTTTTCAATAACTTAAGTCCCCTTTGAAGATATTTAGGCAACTATTTGAAAGTAGGGGGCAAAGTTAGGTGTTGTCTCACAGATTTTTTTTCATTAGTTTAACTCATAAAAAATGAAACAAATGCTTCGTATATATAAATGAACAATAGTATTCCCACACGCATTTTACGGATGTTAACTGGATATGTACCGTAAGCCTATTTGCAAATTCCCCGGCAGTTCCAGCTCCGATCCACAACGGAAACGGTCACTGTACGGGGTTAAGCCTATTTGTATACTAACAAATACGTATGGAATATATCTTTTATTACGTTTTTTTTGTTTGTAATTTAACTGTAACTTGTTATAGTTATTAAAAAAATCCGAATTTGATTTATTGCAGTTGTACCCAAGTTTGGCTTAATTTATTATAAGTTAAAACGATCAACATTTGAATTAATATGAATATTATACTTACATGTTGTATATGATGTAAGTAATATTTGAATTTCTACTTTGGTAATTGGAAGATTTTAGTAAATATGTATTTTTTTGTTGTTGTTGAGTTGCTGTCTCATTGAAATGTACCCATATCACGTTTTATTAAAAATAAATGTTATAATGAAAAGAGGAACCATTTCAACGAGGTGAAATGAAAAATATATATTCTAATTTCATATATAAGTTATTCTTTTATTAGAATAGATACGTTACAAATACATAATAATACACCATAATGCGAACATACGTTGCCTATATAGTTAACGTCAAAAACGTCAAATTAGAGATGCTGTGACATTTTGGTAGACCACCATGTGACCGCTTTATTTTGATGATTTATGCATTAATCTTTATTTCAAATATATCGAAAGGTTCCTTTTGCAAAGGAATTTGATATTATGATTATTTTTTTCAAACAACTGATGTTGTTTTCACTTTTTTTTTGAAGATTTGTAATAACTTGTCCTTCGTAATTCAAAGCAAAAATGAAGACGCTAACATTGTGACATTTTGGTAGACACCCTTTCAACGCATTGATATTCGATACTAATCGATAAAAACATAATTGAATGCATTGAATATTTTCTTTTTTATTTGGAATTTATCATACTGGTTTCATTTTTTCGTTCTAAAATGTTTTACACATTATTTTACATTGTTTTCTGTAACCCACCCCGGAATTACTAACGTTAAACGTTAATTAAAAGTTTTGTGACGGGAGACCTTTGAGAAATTCATATACCTAGTATTTTTTGATTTAATGCTAAAAATGAGATTGATGTCCGAATAAATGCTGTTCAAATGTTATAGATTAAGAGACATGTTACATTTTCTGACTACATGAAATGTTTTGCACAGTTTTACTCAATATTGATAATTTCTTTATACAACAGTTTTTTTAAACGTTGTTGTGACAGTTAATTTCAGGCTAGGTTTTTGATAATGATATCGAAGTATTCTTGGGATTTGCTCTTTTTCATTGGATTTCTTTGCTTTCAAAGAGTTTTCCAAACTTGTTTTACAAAAGGATATGCGCTATCCTGAATTTGATAACATAAATCTCTCGCTATACATGGACTATGAACTGTTATGCCGTAAGGGAGTGACATTTATCATTGGTGTCTACAATCAATAATGACTTCTTTCAAGGTCTAATCAATTCTAAAATTGCGTTTTCTCCGTCTTAAACACATGTCATCCCAAAGCACTAATTTAACTCTTCCAAATAGTATAGCATTGTTATGTTTCATATACTTATAAGTAACCTAAAATAGGAGGAATACTCAAAGAACAACATTAGTATGTTACCCGTCTACACGGAAAATATAAGATTTTTCTCGTTAGTATTCGGACAGCAGATTGACAAAACCGAATAAAAACAATAAGCCATCTGTAATTTAAATTCTTAAGTGCTTTAAAGGTTTTATACACAAAATTACACTTTATCTGTCCTGTTTTTTTCTTATTTAAAGCTGATTTTTTTGTCAAAGGTACATGAAATCAGAAAACGTCACCAACATTGTGCGTAACGTCTGTATAGATTGATATATTAAACGTACATGTATGTCATCGAATGAATGATGCAGGTATAACCCACGATAGGTCATCAACACTGTTTAAATTCTAAATTATAACACCACAAAGAGACAGTTACTAAGTGAAAATGATACTTTATAAATGTCCAAAAGGCTTTTCTAAAGTTACTTTCATCAAAAAGCCAAACATTTGGAAGTTTAAGATGGATACATTTTCTGACTAAATGATCAAAGCAATTTATTGGTCAAATATGGCGGTAGTTTACAAATGTTCAATGTATATGTCATTCTAGTATCACGTGCTTCATTCGCTTTGTAAACAACAGCGTGATAAAATTTTCTATATATATATCTATATTTATCGCAAACTCGGAGATAAACATATTAACGGCTGTTACAGTTTATCTCCCACGTAAATTCACATGTAGCCTATGTGCAAACACTATGTCTATTTCGCACAACATGAAGAACACACTATAAAAATCAGTTGAAAAGCTTAGCTCATCAGATTTATACAAAAAAGAAAAACACAGAAAGACACAATTACAGATCTGAGAGTATTTGCAGTTACTGAAAGATAGGTCAAAGCCAATAATCACCAATAAAAAAGTCATTCATTTAAGACTAAAATTTCAATTAGTACACATCCAACGTCCAATGGATTTAGTGTAAAGACGTCATTAACTACCAGAGAAAAAAATGACCTTGTGTAATGCCAAAATATAGGTATCATAGACTTTAGGACC